ACCCATTTTCCCCCCCCTTTGTCCGGGTTTTTTTTTCAAGAAAAAGGGGGGGGGTTCCCCGGGGACCTCCGCCCCGGTGGTGGTGGGAAATTGGGGAAAAGGGGGTTCATAAAGGGGCCCTTGGTTTCCCTTTTTCGCAAAACAAAAGGGGGGGGGGCGGGTTTGGGAAGAGGTTTTTTTTGGGGGGACGGCCGGGTTTGGGGGGGGGCCCCAATCCCCCCCCCCCGGGGTAAGCTTGGGGGGGGGGGTGGAATTCCCCGAAAGGGTTTGTGTTTTGGAAATTTAAGGCCCCCCCTTTTTTTTTTGGGTTTTTGGGGTTTCCCCCCCCTTTTTTTTTGGGGGGTTTCCCCTTTTTTCCCCCCCCCCCCCCCCCCCCGGTGTTTGCCATCGGCGTTGGGTTTCCGTCGCTTGGCAAAGACGTTGTAAAACAAGCCAATTCACTTCGTGAACTTGGCAACCAGTTTACCGTCTTTTTTTTTTTCCTCTGTTTTTTTTTTGCGGTAACCATAGTGGTGGTCGAGTAGATAATGTTGTGCGGAGTGGAGAACTCTCACTCCGCGCAAGGGGGATGATCGCACCATGTTGTGTTAAAAGGGATCGCACTTACCACAGTCTCTGGAAGTGACGCACCAAAAATAAATTAAGTCATACGCAGCTGTCATCCGTACGCAAGGATGTAAGCACAAGATGCCGAACACCCTTAGCAGGATGCAGCTCACCCTTCATGCGACTCGCCGAACACCTCACGGCGCTTCGCGCGTGGTGATGTGAGAGCCTGGTCCGGTGAGAACCCGGCGTGCTCCATCCCGGTTTTGTAGGGATGCGAGGTCAATGGTCTAACGATTACGGCATGCACGACTATGAGTACCCCCCCCCCCCCCACACATGTCGGTCGGGGAGGGGGAACGAGTTTCGTTGGCGGACGTCCCAGTGGCCTCGGTCTGTTTTCCCTCTGCGTTGCGTTCTTGCACGCCGTTTGGTATGTTTGGTTCTTGATTGTTGAAAGGGGCTACTGGTCCCGATGCCACAAAGTAGAAGCCGCCTCTATGTGACCAGTTGCCGTAATGAAGTAACCGTGTCTGTTTTGCCAGATGCCACCAAGGAGCCGTGTCTGTTTTACCATTGGCGTCATCGGCGATGTTTTTTTTGCAGGTGGAGATGGGTTTCTTGTATTTTCTCTGTGTGTTGTGTTTAGTCAGCGCACCTCGTGGAATTATCGCGCCT